CTCTCATTATTTTAAAATAGAAATTAAGCAATTACTATAATTTTTATGTATGAATGCCCTGAGTTGTGTAATATTMGTATTATCTACTACTTATTATCAATTTGATTTATATCTTTAAAATCATTATGAAAGTTTTATTATAGCTAGTAATGGTTATRAGAGTGGCATAWGCATCTTGTTTCAGTTTCAAATTKTTACTGCCACTTGTATTGGAGGGATAACCCAGTCTTTTTGAAAACTCTTATCACTATAGTGATTGTTTTTCTTCTACACACACACCTACCAACAAAAGAAMACATCTGTTCTATAGTGGTGGTCAGTTATACCAGTAAATTGACTTTTTGAGCTTCTCATCTGAGCAATTGTAACATACTGTTTGTCAGTACATCTTCACACAATAGTTTTCGTGTGGATACCTTGAATTTATTTTCAGAGATGCTGTTTCATGTATACACAATCCACTTGATTCTGCAATGATATGATTTAATATGATATTAAAATAAATTTGTGTAAGTTCATTGAAGGTTAAACTTTATAGATCTCTCTTAGTCCAAACATTTTGATATAATCTTTTGTTATCAGTAATCTGTTAGAAATACATAAATGCTAGTTGTTTGAAGGATGTGATTCAGATATCATTTTTGTCATATGGTAGGTAAAACAGTAGAAAGAATKTTGTACTCTTGGCCTCTGCTTGTAGAGGCTATCCAGGCTTGAATTTAAAGGTTTTAGTGGGCATTAACACTTTAAATTGTATTGATACTCTCTTTTGATTTTACTACTATTTTAGCATACTGTAGTTTTGGGAATTTTGTTTCTTTGKGGTAGTAGTAAAAAGCTAGATTAAATAAAGATTTTTGTTAAAAGAAGTGTATTCTGCGGAGGTTATCAGTTTTGTCTTCACATGAACATGGATTCATATTTTCTTCTACCAGGTAGTAGGTGTGTAATCTTGGGTAAACAACCTGATTTCTCTAAATCTKTTCYTGTATCTAAATAATGTAGTAGTAGTTGCTTCCTTATAGAGATGTTGTGTGTTTTAAGCACTGAACATGTGCTATATTATTTGGTTAGTCCCTGTCTCATACCAAATGCCAAACAAATAAGAACTCCTGCTGTCATGCTCAATGTTAATATAATAGGTTGAGGTCTTCTAGGAAATCATGGGCCCATTACAAGATTCTCAGAATTTTGTCCTGTTTCTGGTGTTCACCCAAGTCTACCAAGTCTAAAGTGACAATGCTGTCATGATGCTTAGATTATGGGAATATAGTACAGAGAATTGCTAACTTGATAGTATTCTTAAAGAACCATTTCATTGTTCAAAGAGTAGTGGGTGATAATTTTTAGATTATAAAGATCACTAAGAAGCTACTTAGTTTTCATTTAAAAGTTTTCTTCGTATGACTGAAATAATGGAATCTTTTTTATACGTCATCCAAATTTGTGGTGAATACTATGAGTATATTCTAGACCCTTGCTTTGTAGCTATAAGGGAGTTTTACTCCAGACTGACAAGTAGGCCATGATTTATTACAGAATCTGCTTTTAACATTATTTTGTCCAGAATGAACAGAGTGGCTGGAGAAACTCCATCCATCTTTTGGTTTATTTGACATTTATGCCACATTAAATGTATCTTAAAAAAATAACGTATGAATAATAAATTCTATTTAACATTGAAGATTACTCATCAGTCAGATAAATCTCTTGACAGTAACACAAAAGGAATCCTGACAAGCAATGTCTGTTAAAATTTGGATAAAGCATTTTTTTAACCTGAACAAATTTTCAAAACAAATAAATATTTGTTTCATTTTTCTTTCAAATAACTATTATTACAAAATGTATTTAAGTTGTTCTTCATTTCAACAWGGTTAGCAMTATCTCTCAAGTTTTAATTATTCTAGATTAGTACCTTATCATGGCATGACTGATTAGTGTAAATAGTCTTCTTTACTTGTTAATGTCTACCAAAACAGTGGAAAAAAAAGTATGGACGAAATAGATGAAGTTGTTGCTAATACATTTTGTGCATGTTTTTGTGCTTTCATGCTTTTGGAAAACTTTCTTTATRTTTATTAATTTTTAGAAGAGATTATGGGGGAGGGAGAAAGAGAAGAATAATTGAGGCAGGAAGAGTACTCTGGTAGCATTGTGAACTTTTTCCTGAGAATGCTAGAAGATGAATAAAAAATCTTTGCCCTGGGATTTAGAGCTGCAGGATAGTTTAAAAATGAGACACTATGAATTATCAACAAAATGCTTCTCATCTGAGATGTTTTATTATGTTTAGTGTCAAATATGTTTGGAAGTTTGAATGTTTTTTTTTAATTTCACAATTAWTAAATACAGATTTAGAAATTATGGGAGAAGTATTCTTCTATTTCCTATTCAGTAAGTATACTTTCTAATATTATAATGTTACCAATCTGTGTCCTACTAATTAGTGGGCAATTTCAATATGACAGCCTGTGATAAATGAGCCCCCTCCCTAAATTAGTGCTAGTTTTATAGCATCTCTGAATATGTTGAATCTGTGTTTGACTGGAAGTACTTCACATTTATTAAATTGGTAGATATTGCAAAGTATATGGTGTTTCAGAATTCTAATTTTCAATTATTATTTCTCATRAATAAAGATTGAGATTTATCCATTTGTTGTTGTTTCATCATAGAGATATCTCAATATATGAATCCTAGGAGTTCCTGGCTGTTTAGCTATATCACAAATCTTTTTGGAAAACTTTCAGGCTCTACAAATTACAGAGGGAGATAGCATTTGTCTTATTTATTATTCCACATAGGTCACTTACCTTGTTACCCCTTTCTTGAGATGGGGAGTGGACTGTCCTTTCATGAGATGGGGTAAAAATAGGTGGTTGAGAGTCTACAGAAGGAAGGAACAGTGTCCTTGAGGTAATCTCTGATACAAAGCAGAAAAGGAGCTTTAGTTTTAGCGTGTTTTTTTTTTTTAACAGAAGACAGATTTTATGCTAGCTCTATTATATTTATGAAAGTTTGCTGCTTTTATGTGGCCTTAAAATGGTAGTATGAATGAAAAGCTAGAGTTGTAAAAAAGTCACAACTTAGATTAACATTCTCAGGTTTATATGTAAAAACTGAAATATATAGAAAAATTAGAACTGACCCAAGCATGCAAAAGTAACTTTAAGAACTAGGTTTTTCATTTTTATTCTCATTGTTTTGTTTTGTTATTTCACTATTCTTATATATACCCAGATTACTATAATGTGCATTTAATAGTTTTGGAATGGAAAGTGAATTTAGAGTTACCTTCTGTGTTATTATATTATTCTGTTATTTTTACCTGCATGCAAACTAAAGTCCARTAACTTCCCCAAGGCTATTAACTCGTTAAGGGTATGTTTAGCATTACTAGGATCATCTTCGCATGCTAGTTATCTAGCTAGTAATGATATATATTTATATATATTTGGCAGTACTCTTTTTAAACACTTAACTGGATATTGTGAAATCTACATTTCTTTTAAACGAGGTATCAMATAATGACTTATGTGTTCTGTTTTTAAAGTGCCAGCAACCGTTCTTTCTTGCTATGGTGCTAGGGTTATCTATTAGCCCTGTGTTCATACTGCTCTAGGCCCATCACTCCCTACTGGCACTTACCAAAGGAAACCCAAAGTAACTCCTGCTTACTGCTCAGATGTTAGCTTCACCACTTCTCATTTCTGATTACAGTCCATGACCACTTAAGATTAGGATTGGTCAACCCTGGTCTTCTCCTCAACCCTATATATTTTTTTAATCCTATATACCCATTGGGGTTCATCTGATCAGCTAACTGAGAGCTCACAAATTGGTGCTCCAACACCAGTCCATTTCTCCAAGTTCTACTCATGTATTCTTAATAAGGACACTGTCACTCTTGAGGGATAGAAAGTTGATTTGTGTCTTCCCGCTATTCCTACTTGCCTTCACTGACATATACACACTTTTTTTTTGAAGTCACTCAGCCTCTTCAGATGTGCCATATTCCTCCTCATCTATGGCTTTGGTTTAGTCAGTGTAACAACACTGTATCAAAATATCTGAGCTATTTAACTCTTAAGAGGGTTTTTAGCTCACAGTCTGGGGTTAGGGGCATGGTGCCTATCTAGGCTATTCTGGTGAGGACTCTCTCAGCCACATCCAGTGTGGTGCATGGCAARGGCAGGAGCACATGTGGGARCAAGTGTTCACATCACCTGGAAAGAGAGAGACTGACTGGGCTCAGGCTTTCATAGCAATGCTTTTGTGAGAACTACCAACTAGTTGCTTAAGAAATCTTTTAATCTCTAAGGACCTCTCATGAGACCCCCATCTCTTTAATATTCTACCTCCCACCATAGCCACAGTGAAGACCATTTTTCCTGTATATGAATCATTGAGGGACAAACCAAGTACAAACCATACCAAGCCCTTTTCAAATGCTATTCTCTCTGAAATATGCACTTCTGAATTTTCTTCTTCCCTCTCCTAACCCCATCCTTCAGAGGTTCATTCAGTTCACATGTTGTGTTGCCCTAAAACTACTTTGTAATTGCTTTTACTAAACTATTTGTCATATCAGGGCAAATGGTTTAAAAAAATAAACAGCTTCTTGCTTCTGAATATGTGTCAAATAATAAATGGATGAATGCCCCATTTATCATTTAGTAATTTTAGGTACTGGTATTACATAGACTTTCAGGTTTATCTGCTTTTCTAGACACGTGACCATTAATTTTTTTTTTCTCAGAAAATGTTGCATCCTAGGTTGAATTAAAGTTATTTCTCATTTACAACAAATATCAATAATTTTGACCAAGCAAGTAAAAAGTACCTTTTCAAGCATTGAAATATTTGTTTGTCAAAAATGGAATTAATTAATTTTACAGCTTATTTCTTATCTACCAAATACAGTATAAACATTATTTGAGTAGGTAGATTATCAAAATACTTCTGACAAAGTTTTGTCTCCCTCTAATTTTCTTTAGCTAAAGGACACAAAATCATCAGACCAGAAAACAACATTACTTCATTTCCTGGTAGAAATATGTGAAGAAAAGTACCCTGATATCCTGAATTTTGTGGACGATTTGGGACATTTAGACAAAGCTAGTAAAGGTTTGTACTTTGGAAAAAAAATACGTTATTGCTCTGGTCTTTAGTTCTAAAGGAATATAATGCTTTTTATTTRTATATAGTTCTCATTTTGTCAAAAACATTTTATGTTCAGTGTCACATTTTAAAAATAGAAAACTATAGGATATTTACTTTAGGACTTGTCATGATTGGAGCTGTTAGTTTAATATATTTGGTAATGAAACTTTATATTTATGAACACATTGTCTTGTGCCTTAAATTTTATGGATGCATGCTAGACTTACCCTCTGCTGCTTGGTCTCCTTACTGTGTCTCCTTTGATTCCATGTGACCCATTGACCACCGAATGACTGTTATATATTTGACCCCAGATGTAGCCATCAGTGTCTCCCTTTCCACAAGATCAAGATCTATTTAAAGTGGAGATCTCATTCCATGAAGACACCAGACTGCCAGAGTCTCAATTCAACCCTTTCTAATGCCCTAATTTCTAACCTGGTTCTAGTTCCTACTAAGGGTCAGAAAGGATAGAATCCATTGTTATTTCTTGGTTATATTATGATTTAAGTTAAAAATTTTATTACCAACTTAAATACCCAGTTTTCATTTATATTTCACATTGGTTTTATGCAAACAGCTTTAATTGGTTTGAAACAATCAATTTGTGTATACATKCTGGGAGACGAGATATAGAATGAGGAGTATCTGTATTCTTTTGATTTTGACCACTTGTTACTAATAATGTCATTAAAAAAAATCTCTGTTTTCTCCTACTTTCTTTTCTTTTTATTTTCATTGTACTCTAGGGATAGGACCCATGGTCTTCCATATGTTCACAAATGATCTACCACTGAGCTATAGTCTCAGCCCCTGCTTTCTTCTTAATGTTGGAATTTRTGACCTTAAAGAAGGGTCTTTTATTTTCTTCTACATTCAAATGAATATTCCTTCTTAAGTGCTTTTATCATTCTCTACCTCTTTCAAATTTTTCTGTAAAATGATGCTTATAGTACTTTATCTGCAAAGAGATATTTGATTGGCTTTGATGTTCTGTGTAACTTTATCCCATGATACATATTTCTTGAAGGACATATTTCATACAGCCTATTGGAAATAATTAGCATAGATTTTTAAGACCATTAATAAGCTTCTTACTTTATTTTTCACTTTTATAGTAATGTTACATGATACTGAATTATTTGCTTTTTACCTGTCTTATATTAAAATGTTTATGAAATAAGAAAATGTCTCTCTCTGTATATATAAATGCATATATGTATACATGTATGAAATATTACATGTATACCATATATGTACACATGCATAGTGATTATCCATATAATGTGTGTGTGTGTGTGTGTGTGTGTATATATATATATATATATTTTTTTTTTTTTTCTGTTTTGGAATTTAAGAAGAGAAATTATACAAATTATATTCTGTTAATATATGTCAGGGTAAAAAGGAATAGAACTGAGTGGGAAAAACTTAGTGGTTATTAAATCTAGCTTTTAACTGGTTGGTTCATTAAGTCAGTGAAATTGACTTTTTTAAAGTGAGACCTTAGACATTTTGGAATATATAAGCAAATGGGATGAAAACAAAATTGAAAGTGAGTAGTGTTGGTGGACATTAAATTTTGTAAATAGCAAGTCTAGCAGATAGCAGTAGTSGCAGAAAGTTCCTTGAAATATAGAGATTTCTTTTGAGAAAAAGATGGTTGAGTAGGTAATAGTGTTAATTAATGTTAATGTTTTCATAAGAATCAGGCAAGYGCTTTTGGGTAGTGACAGTTTACATTTCTGGTTATCATTTTTCATATTTGTTCTAAAACTGAGCAGGGAGCTGGAACATTCTTTAGATGCATTGTTTTTATTGTGAAATTCGTTTTTTTTTTTAGGAATTTTTACTTTAAATTAAGTTCTTGAAATATTTACCTTGTCTCATTTGATTGTACTTAAAATTCTTTAAAATATTAGGATACTTAAAAAATTTTTTAACATTTATGAGGACTTGCAAGCTTTGTAAATTTGTAATTTGATTTTTTTTCTTTGTTTTTTTTTTTTTTTTTTGGTGTTTCAGTGGGGCATTTTGGGACTGGGGGTTTTATCTTCCATCTATTACAGTGGAGACACACATATGTGTATGAGTTAGCAAATACTGCTAATATATTTCACAGGGAGCAGCCAACTTCATATTTGAATAGAAGAAATATTACTGAATTTTTTAAAAATAGTATAGGTGATTCTTGARTTCTTTCTGTGATTATCTAACCCAATTAATGAATGTGATTTTAGAGGAGTGAATGGAATGTTTTAGATGATATATCTGTGTTTGCTTCGGAGAACTTCATTGCTCTTATGTATCATCATTTGGAAGTTTTCAGACTTGAAGTCTCCTTGGTGAGCTAGCACATGAATTAAAAAGTACCTTTGTTTTTGAGACATAAAAAATCCTGGTCATTAGGTACTCCTAGATCAGCAGGGGTAACTTTCATTGCAACTAAGGAGCTTACCCATATGACAATTTTCAAAATTCTACTTTATTAGGACTACTTCTTTTCTAAGAGATAATGGCTTACAGTTTTTCTGTTGTGTTTCAGTGAAAATATTTTGGTTCATTATTATATTTCTGTATACCATTGTAATATTTCTTTCATGAACTTCTAGGTGTTGAATACAATTTTTCTTGTCTAAATAATTAAAGTTAATTGGCTATAAATGTCTTATTGAYCAATTCTCAATAAGCTGTTTTGGTATTAAAATGAAACATTATTTTATTAATGAATAGATAATGACAAATCTTATTTTTTTAAAAAATTTGGTTGTTTTTAGGAGGTTGTATTAAAATGAAACCAAGGTAAAGTTTACAGCATAATGTGGTCAACCCTCTTTTAGTATTATAACTACACAAAATACGTCTATTGTTTTCTTGACAACTCTGAATTTCAGAAATGCCATACTAACCTACTCTGTAAATCATGTATTTAGCCCTTCATTTAACAAGTCTGCACTTGGAGTTATTGTGTATGAAGTTGTGCTGTTTTCTTGTGTTGGTCCAATGTGTAATTTCTGTGTCTGAATGCARCCTCACTGACATCAGGTGTCTGGCCCTAATAACTCCTACCTTTTACTCCCGTATCCTTTACTTCCTCTTGCTCTCTGCTCCCTCTTTATATAGCTGCTGTTATTAGCCTAATAACTGATCCCTTCTCTCTCTTTTTCTACCCATAACTTTCCTAGAGGTGTTCTCTTCAATCCCCCAGGACTAAAAGTCATCATTAATTAGTTAATAACTTACAAATTTATGTCCCAGACTTTACTTCTAAGGTTCACTCTTCTGTGTCCAACATCTTTTGCCATTTCCATCTGCATCTCAAATAGGCATTAGGATCATAATGTACCACAAGACAGGATTCTTGATCCCTMCACATTTAATGTCTTCTCAACTTTTATATAATTGAGAAAACYCTTCCTGGTCCCTTCTTCTGATTTTCTTTCTCTCATTTGTCACATCTGAGTAAAATCTTCAGGACCTCAACTCTGCCTGGTAGATTCTGCTGAAGTGAAATCTATGGAAMGGCGCTACTGCATGTAAAATGTTCTTTGGCTTTTTACTTCATCAAGAAACTTAAAGAAGATGTCAAGTTCTTTTTGATGCTTGTTTCTGGTGCTTACTAAGAACCTCACCTAAATTTATGGGTATGCCACCCTTTACTTCAGGATAAATTCATTGGTTAAACTGAAATTCTCACACCATTATTAAAGGACAGTTTCTCTAGTATCTTATTTTTTGTTGTTGTTGAAGTTATTGTAAATGGGGTAGTTTTTCTCATTTCCTTCTCAGAGGATTTGTCACTGATATACAGAAATGCCTTTGATTTATGGGTGTTGATTTTAYATMCTGCTGCTTTGCTGAATTCATTTACTAGTTCTAGAAGTTTTCTGTTGGAGCTTTTTGGGCCTTCTAGGTATAGAATCATATCATCAGCAAATAGTGCTAATTTAAGTTCTTCTTTTCCTATTCATATCCCTTTAACTTCATTCATCTAATTGCTCTGGCCAGTGTTTCAAGAACTATGTTCAATAGAAGTGGTAGAAGAGGGCATTCCTGTCTTGTTCCAGTTTTTAGAGGGAATGCCTTTAATTTTTCTCCATTTGGAATAATGTTGGCCTGAGGCTTAGCATAGATAGCCTTTACGATGTAGAGATATGTTCCTGTTATCGCTAGTTTTTCTAGTGTTTTGAACATGAAAGAGTGCTGTATTTTGTCAGATGCTTTTTCTGCATCTATGGAGATGATCATATGATTCTTTTCTTTGAGTCTGTTGATGTGATGAATTATATTTATTGATTTCCTTATGATGAACCAACCTTGCACATCTGGAATGAATCCTACTTGATCATGGTGCACAATCTTTTTGATATGTTTTTGTATTCAATTTGCCAGGATTTTTTTTTTGAGAATTTTTGCATCTATGTTCATTAGAGATATTGGTCTGAAATTTTCTTTCTTTTATGTGTCTTTGCCTGGTTTTGGGATCAGGATGATTTTGGCCTTATAGAATGAGTGTGGAAGTGCTGCCTCTTTCTCTATTTCCTGAAGTATATTGTAGAGTATTGGTATTAGTTCTTCTTTAAAGGTCTTGTAGAACTTGGCTGTATATCCATCTAGTCCTGGGCTTTTCTTGGTTGGTAAGTTTCTGATACTTGTGAATCAACTTAACAAAAGAGGTGAAAGATTTATACAATGAAAACTACAGAACCCTAAAGAAAGAAATCAAAGAAGACCTTAGAAAATGGAAAGATCTATCTTGATCTTGGATAGGCCGAACTAATATTATCAAAATGACCATACTACAAAAAGCATTATACAGATTTAATGTAATTCCAATCAAAATCTCAATGGCATTCCTCATAGAAATAGAAAAAGCAATCATGAAGTTCATCTGGAAATGTAAGAGACCCAGAATAGCTAAAGCAATCTTTAGCAAGGAAAGTAAAGCAGGTTGCATCACTGTA